GTTCGATCAACACGATACCTATTTTACCGCCACAAGCTTTCCACCCTTTCCTACCATACCCGAGTGAGCACTGTACAGTACTGTACTAGTACGAGTGCATGGCTTAAATTGGTGGGTTAGATTTCCGGGAGGGCGGTTTTAACGGCGATCTTGCCGAAAAAGGTTGGTATGCAAATTTCGGCACCATACTCAATTTCCAATACTGAGCGCCATTCGGCCGTACAAGAGTGTGGGGAAACTTTGTACTCGTATTATCCCCAATTGCACTCAGTCAACCGTCAATACTCCCAAGTTGGTAGGTGGACCCACAACAAACGGCGAGTGACCCGTCGCGGTGACCGCAACGGGGGCTACCAGCAAGCAGGCATCCGGCGCTCATAAATACCGGCCTAGATCGGTAGGTGAAAATATTCCTGTTGTGAAATCTCATCAATCAGTGCCATGCTTCACTTAATACTTTCGCAGTTAATTCTAGCCTTTGGTGCCAGATATAGGACTGTGAGTCCAACCCATGCAAGCAACCAAAGTCATAGCCCAAATGGAAATAGACTCTCCATCCAAACGATTAAGCGCTCCCCCGCCTCTCCCTATGTGAAATTCACAGTAAGTTGGTACAATGTCATAGAAACCCAACAGATTTTAGATTTTGCGCCCCGCCCCCCCTTCGGTGTTGATAATTGGTTTCAAGAATCTAGTTGGAATAGTTTGGGATGAAGATCTGACGCGATGCGCAGAAATCGCACGAGGGTGCCCAAGTAAACCACTGCGTAGAACAGGTATGATGCCCAAACATAATACAAATACCGGAGGCCTTCCTTTAGGGAAGCGAAACGTAGGCGAAAGTTATCTTTGTTAAAGCCGTTTACCGGATATATTGAGGGGACATAAGCCGAGTGCCATATTCAGAAAGCGAGTCCCGCGCCCAATAACTTCCTAACCGATGTTGTGTAACCAATCGTTTCCAACCCCAAGCGAAGTGCCCATGTCCCAACGAGATTCCTGATTCTTGATCAGCTCTCTCAATACCGGTATTTAGCTTCATGAGACTCGTCAAGAGGCAATCCAGTATGACATCAGAGGCAAACTGCGCCAGTTTATTAGCGAAGCGCCTTTCAAAGCCGATACTCCCCCCACCCCGCACCCCAGCACGACACGTAAGCCAACTTGTCGAAAAAGCCCCACGAGAGCTCCCCCAAGCCCTAAGGCTACTTTTGAGCTGAGACTGAGAGAGTTCTTGCGAACGAAAGTGAGCTTTATTGTTTATAAAATCCCTACCGGGTGTATCCAGTACAAGCAGATGTCAAATGACCCCTGCTGCAGCATTAACAAAGAAATAATCCAAAACTCCCCTTCAGCAAAAAAAGAGGCAGACCAAAGACCCTCGCATCTCTCTGCGGGAACGGAGAAGAGTAAATCGCACTGTTCAGAGAAGCGGTTGAGGTTTTGGCGGTGTCTCACTGGCTTCATAAAGTAAGGCGAAACCATAAAATGTGGCTAACTATACCAGATCGTGCAGAGTAGGGCGAAACGAGGTCCGAAGGTTGGAATAGATGGTTGAGGGCTAGTGGGAGCAACCCGAATTTAATAGTATAGAAATCGTGATACCGTCGGATGAAAGTGATCCCGAATGTCTCTATTCACCTCGACATTCGATAGTAGACTAGTGATTACCTTGTCAAGATGCAGATTTCTGCTCCGAGATCGTGGGAGTGTCATGATTGAGTAAAGCCAGGAGTAGATACTTACTAGATTGTTCATCAGAACTGGAGGAGCCTTGGTTCGAGACCCACCTTGACCTTCCTACTCAGGAAGAGCGATTGGCCAATGAAGGTTTTCTTGTTCTGGCTAGTACCCCTCGTCTCACAATTCATTTCGCGTCTCTACTTCCTCCTGAACTGTTGGAAGGTAACGCGACGGGGGAACGCAAGGCGAGCGGAGATTGAGTTGAGGTTTTTGTGTTTATGAAGCAATCGGATATCCGTGTTGTTGACTAGAGTAAAGGGGGAAAGTATGAAGAGAGAGAGAAGAAAGAAAGGGATACCCTCAGAGAGGCTTATACATGAGGGGGTGACGCAAGCAGTCACACGGTATCACTCACGATGAGTGATGGTAGTGCGCGATAGAGGCCACCAACACGAATTCCAACATTAGCCACCACGACTTAGTGAGGACCCACAGGGAAAACGCACGATTACTATTTTGAAGATATCACCTATAAAAACCTATCTTTAGGAAAATTTGTCCCCTCTTCTGATCTTCACCCGTATACGGTAGAGGGTATGTTTGTGATACATGTCCAAACTTCCGAAAGGCAATCAAAAGTGTCTTGGTATGATCATAACCTCCTACGTCAGTAATGAACGATTTCTCACGGAAGGCAGTGGCGGTTCTGAGGTATATGGTGATTGATCTGAGTACTAGGTTCCCGAAGGAATGATAACAATTCGACGAGGTTTATCGTGAGGTAGACTTGGCGATCAGCTAGTATATAATACAGAATTGTTTCATCCGATTCATGGCATTGGTCAAGTATAAAACCTAGCTGGTAGGTCTAACGTGATACAGCCAACGGCAATAAATTTTTTTGGAAAACTGGGGTTAGAAACAGGGAACCCAATTAGTTCGAACCACCCAATGTTCCAATCGGGACTCAAGAACGGCCGTGTCTCACCTCCCGATCTCTTTTACCCAAGCTGTGGGTGCAGTAACGGTACTGCATTGCCACGCCGTACCTAGCGCGATACTCCGGAAAGCCCCGGAAAAACTCTACTCCCTAAGCCCAAAACGCGCTGGGGGGACGGTTGTCCGGTTATGTTGATTGCCTTCGAGAATGTTTCGAAAGAGTACGACATCCAATACCAAGTGACATGGACTACTGTATCAAGGGAAAGGACGATCTTTACACCCGCCAAGTAAGCTCACCACCTAGTCGTGCTTGTGGCGGGAAAAGTCGGACTGGAGAGCCGGGAATTAGGGTTCTTTCAACTGCCTTGAGCTCACAGCGGAGAGAGAGGGCAGTAAGCTCATTAATGTGGTTACGACCCTATTTTTACTGGCGTCGGTGAAGTGTTGCCCTGTCGTGCGGGACTTATGATACTCCCGCAACTTGGGGTTGAACTTGGAAACAAAGTGTAGGATAACATTTTGTTTCAGGATAAGCTCCAACGTGGCGTATAGACACTGGGAGCATCGATACTAAGGATTTCGTTTGCTTGGGGAAAAGTAGATTAATAGGGTTGCCGAGGAGTGTTTCTAGGTACAAGTATGATATTCGCGGAGAGCATACACCCCGTTTGGCTCGTAACAGACCACCGCCCTCTTTTTTATGAACTGTCCTCTAAAGAAAACCATGCAAAACATTCAACGGTTTTGGGTGATACCAATAATTCATGGTGCCGATACTCGTGCTGATACCGTGGATCTACCAGTAAGCATCGAACATTGACAGGGTCGTTGATGTTGCGCACCGAGGTATCTGGAAGAACAAGGCGCGCATGCTTTTTCTTAGCAACGGTGCCCTCGCCGTGTTATTTTCCGGGATCTCGCATGAGCCAACTTCCCACCATCCCTCACCCCCAACTCGAATGATTAGCGAGCGATGTGAGCCCAGACTAGGAATTTGGGTACTCGAGTACCGGTACTGCTGGTCCCTAATAAGCTTAATGTTGACCTCTGCCGAGAGTTCAGTCTGCAATAGTGCCATGGGAGAATGGGTGAGAAGTCCGGTCCCAAGATATATTGCTATATACCGGTATCTCGCACAGCACAGTGCAGTACCGTATCCCTTCGCTCCACGGTACAGTACTCCGGTGTTTAACCGATTACGAGTAAAAACAAGGTATCCCAGGACAGTTACGTCTTGAGCCAGGTTTAGACTCTGCGGTACTAAAGGTACTCGAGCGTGATATCATGATGCCAGTAATCAATTATGTAATCAGCATCGTGGAAAACTGACTAGCATATTTACTGTACTCGAGTATCGAACCGGTATCCGTAGGCAAGAACGGGAAACACCCTATTAGCCTCATGATAAGCAAGATAACGCACATGTAATCATCCTCCTTTCCACCTTTTTTTGGGAGTGGGCAGGTAAATAGAATTAGGCCAAACTGCGGAGGGAATGGTCCCCACTCAGGTACGAGCCCCGCACCTATTCTGCGATATAATCTCTCGAAATTATGCTTACTTTTTCTAAATAAGAACTAACAGTGGTATAAGAAATTTGAAAGATTACACCAGGCTATGGTGGTCCACTCAACCCCGCGAATTAGTTTCCCGTGTGGAGTATTGTCACCCCAGCTTATCATAACCACCTCCTTAAATCGTCCAGGATCCGCAACGAGCAGCCGGGGGGGGGGAGGGGAGTACTGTACAGAGCAGACTCCCTGCTAGGAAACGGGTGCGCGCAGGGCATTAAATAAATGCAACCATGATGGGTGATGTAAACCATAGTCGTCAGGTATACATACGCTTTTCGAAGGAGGGGAAACAACTGCGCTAGTATGAATCCATTCAATAGCCCACCATAAAATGAGCCAGTACCCCCCCCCCCAGGCCACCCCTCTAGATTCCCCAAAAACATCTGCCTCCCTTGGCACCCGTCCTCCTCCTGTAAATCTTCCTCTCCATCCTCACATAGGTGACGAACCAACTACCCCTATAATGGCGGAACCTTCAAGGAGAAAGAGAATTGCCAAACATTTGAAAGAAATCTTCACGACGGGTGAAGGCCAATATATCAATGAGCAAGGCGAAACCGTTTACGGTAAACTACCAAGAACTAAAGTCGAAAACCCTATCAGGACGATCAGGAGGCCGACCCTTATGAGTGAGCACCCCACCTCCCTCCACCTTGCGCTAGTACCTTGATATCACGGTTGTTGACCGTATTCAAATAGATTATGTATATTTCATGGTCAGTTGCTATGGGACCTTGTTTTTCAACTAAAACTTTTTAACTAAAATGGCATCTTCAACAGGTCGGATGGATGGCGTGGACAATGGATGGCTACGATTTCCATACAGTTTCGTTGTCAGTATCCCGTCTCGCGACCTTCTACAATCAACACAGGGAACACATTTCAACATCAATCACTCTGACACTGCTCTTCCGTTCTGTGGGCGCCGCTACCTTCGGCATAGCTGGCGACCTCTACGGGAGGAAATATCCCATGATTGTGAATTTGGTTATTATCGCGGCCCTCCAACTCGCAACCGCGTACTGCGCGACTTTCAGCCAGTTCTTGGGTGTGCGTGCTCTTTTCGGCATCGGGATGGGTGGCATTTGGGGTTTGGCGGCTTCTATGGGTCTCGAAAGTAAAAGACATGCCAACCATCCATGCTAGGGTAGATGGGGTTAACGCTTGCTCCCAGATATGCCCATGGAAGCTCGTGGACTCTTTTCTGGAATTCTTCAGCAGGGCTACGCTCTCGGTTATCTCATCGCCGCTGTATTCAACTTATATGTCGTCCCCAATTCGTCTCACAGTTGGAAGGCCCTCTTCTTTATTGGCGCAGGCTTGACTGTCGCTGTCGCTATCGCCCGTCTATTCTTCCCCGAATCCAAGCAGTTCATCGAGGCCAAGAGAAGCGGGGAAAATGCAACGGGAAGGAAGAAGGTTAAGCTTTTCTGGAAAGATGGAAAGAATATTATGAAAGAGTACTGGAAGAGAGCTATCTACGCTGTCGTCATGATGGGTACAACTCCCATGTCATATATCCCCCCCGAAACCGCTCGCTGATATTGAACCAACAGCCCTATTCAACTTCATGTCCCACACCTCGCAAGATATGTATCCGACCTACATGCAACAGACTAAAGGATTCAGCCCCCAAATGTCCTCCAAGGCCACAATCATTGCAAAGACTGGAGCCCTTGTCGGCGGCACGGTGAATACACACCCCTCCCTACCCAAGTCACTCATTGCCAGCAGCCACGAGCTAATACGGCACAGATCTGTGGATACTACTCGCAATTCTTTGGCCGCCGAGCAACCATCATGGTAGCCACCTTCTGCGGTGCTTGCCTGATCCCAATGTGGGTCCTTCCGTCAAGCTGGGGAACCCTCACCGCCGGCGCCTTCCTCATCCAATTTATGGTTCAAGGGGCATGGGGTGTCGTTCCAATCCATCTTCAAGAGCTCTCCCCCCCTCAATTCAGGTCCTCCTTTCCCGGCATTGCGTATCAAGTGAGCAGCCACAATCCCCCCCTCCCTCCCTCATGAGATCTCGGCTGACAAAAAAAAAAAAAAAAAAAGCTTGGAAACATGATCTCTGCACCCGCTGCTCAAATTTCTTCCGTGATCTCTGAGGGCTGGATCATCCACGTTAACGGGGAAGAACGTCCAGACTACGCACGCACCCAGGCTGCCATGATGGCGGTCATCTTCTCGCTTCTTTGCTTCTGGATCGCTTGCGGCAGTGAGGTGCGCGGAAGTCACTTTGAGCTTGCGGCCGCCGCTGGTGGTGACGACAGTCACAATGACAAGCTACGCAATTTGGAGAACCTTGAAATGCGGGACCCTTTTGATACGCCGAAGGAGGATGTCGAGATCGCCGAAAACAAACACTCCAAGGAGTGAGGAAAGTTTGAAGGGATCGTTGAGAGCTAGAAGGTGGATTTTTTTTTTTTTTTTTTATTTAAAAAAAAAGAAAAGAAGAAAATGTTTGGGATTATTTATTTCGTTACGAGTCATCTTTCTTTCATGATCGAGTTAGGAGTCATGACGCTAGCTCCTGAGCCCACGCACCATATATAATATTATGAAATCAATAAACATGAGACCTGAACCATTTCACAAGACCGAAGAGCCCTTCAAAGCCCCATCCATATCCTTAAAGCAAGCGTCAAACCAGCGCACAAGCTCCCTAACCATCTCGGAAGTGCACTCATGCTTAACCCCCTCATAGACAATATCCTCAACACCCAGCTCCAACTCCCCCCTCCCGACAGCCCTCCTGACCTCAGCCAGGAAGGGCTCCGAGCAAGCATACGGCACAAGCCCATCGGCGCCCCCGCTCAACGCCAACAACCTCTTCCCCTTCCAAACCCCCCTCAACCCCTCCACCCCAACAGCCGCGGGATCCAACCTCCCAACAATCGCTCCCAACCCCGCACCCTCAAAGACCTCTCGCACATCGACCCCGCTCTTCTCCGCCCGCGCGCCTATCAAGCGCCCATAATCCGGGCACCCAATAACACTGACAACGCCCTCCACCCGCGGCAGCGCGAGGGCCAAGTAGGCCGCATGTCCGCCGAGACTAACACCGACGGCGAAATGGCGAAGCGGCCGGCGCAGGTACACGCCCAGGTACTCGATCACCACGCGTAGATCCTCGACGGTACCGTGGTAGAGCGAGAAGAGGTCCTCGGCGTGCGTGGCGTTGCCCTCCTTCCAGCTCCCGTTGGCGAGCGGGGACGTCATGCGGACGCCGTGGTTGCGAGCGTCGAAGGCAGCGCAGATCAGCGCCCGGGAGTGGGAGTCGGGCGAAGCGGGGGAGAAGAGGAGACTTCGAGCTATGCCGGACATGTACTCGTGGGTCTCATGGCGCGGGTGGAGGAGGTGCACGCATGTTAGGGGTGTCGAAGGCGGGTGCGAGGAGAGACCGTAGATCTTTATGGGGAGTCCGCTGATGTTTAGGGTCTGGGTATCCAAGGGGATCTGGAGGAGGGCTGGGTCCGAGATTGGTATTGGGGATTGCATCTTTTTTCTTCTTCTTTCTCTCTCTCTCCCTCCCTGGCCGGGATTGCCGATTGATTGGTTGTTGTTTGATTAGAAATTCTGTGATGGGGTCAGATTAGCGCTATTCCCGGTGGGGCACTGCGAGTGGATGGATGAGGCGGGGTGAAGGCCAGTAAAGGAGTGGCTCTGTATAGTACGTATGGGGGGGAGCGAGGGTGGTACTGTACGAGTACAGTACAGTACAAGTTTTTTCACGGAAAATGCCGTCGTGTGCACGGCGTTTAGATAGAGTTGACGCGCCGAGTTTCTTGGTTGTCTTGGTTTGTCTTGGTCTATGCAGGAACTGAATGAATGTGGTGGTGTGTGCTAGTAAGTTGTCAAAAAAAAAAAAAAAAAAAGATTTTGGATCGGATTGGATTGGATTGGATTGGTACTGTACATGATGATACTGGGAATAGTTTGTCTTTTTTAGTTCTTGTTGTCAGGACGTTCTCCATGTTCTCCTAATTGCTTTTAGCGAATGTCAAAGTGATGATGTTATTATTATTAGCAGGACATGCGAAGAAGAATATAATCCTTAACTGCATGTGTACTGTACCTCCATGGATTCCGGTTGTGAGCAATTCCGGATAGATGAGTGAGGTTGGTATTATCAAAGTTTTGCTTTTCAAGTACAGGAAATACAGGAGGAGTGCTCATTTCCAGGTTAATTTACCATTTTCCTCAAGAAATCTCATAGACCAACCCGTTTCCAATGAAATACGGCAAGCGTTATACAATGATGATAATTATTATAAGCAATCACCCATTCTCACTCACTTCACAAGGCATGTATGATACAGTACGATACCTCAGCCAGGTGAGTAGGACGAGTACGATACGAGTATGATAGCAAAAAAGTCCCACCCGCAGAATCTATCGTACCAGTCGCTTTGCTGACCGGGTGACACCACCTACCTACCATACTTGAGTACAGTACCATACTCCCAACCTGAAGGCACTCTACCAATACCCCACCAATCATCTTTGAAGAAAAGAAAAGAAGAAGAAAATCCTCAAAGGGGCCTAGCCTTCCCGCAGCCCGTCCCCCTCCACCTGCAACAAGCCGGATCCCGCACATCCAAAACACTACTCGTACTGTACTTGTACGGTACTATGCACCCCAATCAGTTCGTGCTTCCCCTCCCCTCCCCCACTTTCCGTGTGAGACGACAACCACCTACAATAACCTGCCCACGAATTAAGCACAGGTGCCCGTCAAGGAAAAAGAAAAAAAGAAAACCACCAAAATCCGAGGCCCGTTGCACAATAACCAACCTGGTTTGTTGCCCGCAGAGTTACAGTAACATTGGCCGCACTGCAGCGGCAAGCATGACCGGCCACTTTTGTACTGCAGTGGGCTCAATCTGGTTTACTCCTACTGGGAGTTAGAATTAGTATCACCGACATTGGGTGCCGGGTGTAGAGATGTGGGAGCTGTTGCGTGGAGTAACTGTACCGTACTGTGGTGAAAGAGGGATGAAAGGAAAAGAAAGGCTAGGCTAGGCTAGGCTATTGGTTCGATGCGATTGATGTACGAATCGCGTTCGATGGTGGTCCGAATAGTCTACTTGGAAGAAGGAGTGTGTGAGGAAAGGAGGGGGGGAAAAGAAGAAAAAGCAAAAAGGGTGGCCTTACAACTGCTGCAACTGACTGGCCGTCATAATCTATCTCGAGGAAGAGTGATCGATTAGGAAATGTTTCCAACACTATACAGTACAGTACAGCACGGTACGATTACGGTTAACGGGGAGCACAGTGTAGTGCCACAGCAGGGTATAATAATGATAATGAAAAAAACCGAGACAAAAAGATGCATATTCTTCTTCCCTTCCCCTCCCCACCATTCGATCCGGGCACGAGATGTGGTCCACTATTCCAGTTTGGAAACCCTACACTAGTGCTCAAGTCTCCCCGCGAGGGACATGCTATCATACTTTATTGCACTCTACGCGGAAAGAAGAAGGTCGTGTATGATAGGCTCCGTCCAACCATCCAGCCCAGCTCAACGAGGAGACCTGATTGTCCCAACCGTGCGTAGTGAGTTTTCCCTCTATTCTATGCACTCCAGGTACACACCGCATATATCATACTGCAACCAGGTTTTTTTGGAGAAAAGCCTCGCGGAGCCCTCCTCCCTTCCTTCCCGAGGTTTAACTTGACTGTTAACTGGTTTTTTCACCCGCTCGCTCGTTTTGCTTCTTCTGCTTACGCGCTGTGATTGGCGAGTGGATTACTTTTACCGGCAGTTGGGTTAATATTATATTCACCATGATATTACCTCGACGCCGGTAGAAAAAGGGAGCGATGGAAAGGGGGAAAAAGTTAAAGTGCACTACTTTTTATCGGTTGGAATTAAGGTTGGCTATGATAACTCGTGCAACGAGCTCTATTCGGACGGACACCGAGACAGACGTGCAGGCAGTAGGGAACATCTGATACATGTCTCTCATTCTATTATCTCTTGAACCTCCGCCAAGATCTGAAAGGAGAGTAAGAGAGAGAGAGAGAGAGAGAGAGAGAGAGAGAGAGAGAGAGAAAGGGAAGAAGCATAAATTCGGTGAATTCAGATCAAGCTATTCCGGTGTATATCTATGATAGGTGTTATCGAAACCCACGATAATCCCACCTCCTCGCCTTAGAAATTAAGATAAAAAACGAGAGAAGAAGTAAGAGTTTTATCATTATAATTGTATATTATCATATCCAACTTTCGCATCATATCTCATCCAACAACACCAGCAGGACCGGCAAAGCGACGAGCGAGCGAGCAAGCGACCAATCCATCCGCACACAAAACTCAATTCCACCCATGCGAATCCCATCACGACATCGTTGAACGGAGGGGGCGAACCGTCAGGCTCTCTACATACTGGAAAGAAAGACAAAGGGGCAGCAGGCAGTCATTTCCAACGAATTGAGCGAAACATATGTGCGAATGTATGGTCATTTCCAAAATATTAATTTTTCTCAGCGGTCACAACAGCCACCACCCTCTTGATGCATGGACAGAATGACAACCTTCCACTGCGCCTTGCGGTGCGGTTGTGATGCCGGTTGTGGGGTTGGCTGGGCGTCAAATCAACTACCGTACTGCACCTGCACCCCCTCTAATTGTCGAGCGAAAAAGAAAAAGAAAAAGAGGAGGAAATTCCATCCTGCTGGATAATATCGTAGATGGACACGGTACAGTACAGTACAGGTCTTACCCCCAGTGTAAGCATCGAAAGGTTGAGTGCGCCGGTGCGTCAACGGATAGCGGGATCTGGGATTCGAGCATTTATTCTTATTTAATTTTCTTTAAAAAAAAAAAAAAAAAAAAAAAAAAACACCCAACCAGGTCACCACAACTCACTCGCATCTCTCACCAAATCCCATCCAGCCACAATATAAGGCCAGTGTGTGGCTCAAAAAACACCGGGGTCCGGAATTAGACTACCGTAAGGCCCCTTCCATCCTTCGACCACGCCAAGACCCAGGATCCACGGTCGAGCATTGATTCAAAGAGAGAAAGAAAAAAAAAATCCCTGCAGGCGATCTGTTCCAGACCACGACATTACTTACTTTAATTACCGTACAGTACTATCATCATCATCATCATCATTATTAACCCGGCGTCGATCCGGGCTTTTCGGTTGGCCGTTGGCCAATTTCCAGGCGTAGTGGTCATTTCGTTGTTTTTTTGCATATGATAAGATACTACTCGTACAGTACAGTAATTCCGCCCCCTCCGCGGTCTGGACGCTTTTTCCTCGCCACGGGTACTCGACCGGTATATCACCTGTATCGGTCGGATTACGGTCCCAAGTACTCGTATCATACCGGTGACTGGATACGGGACGGTACAAAAGTATAGACTATGGACTGGGAAGGAGGAGCTCAATTCAGTGCTCCCTGTCATCACACCAACTAACTGATCGATTCCCAAGAGTGGTGCCGGTGCTGCGGCAGGTATGATAGTCTAGCTGGAAGGCGCAGCAGACCTCCAGCCTCAGGAGTTTCGTGGCAACAGTCAGGAAAAAAAAGCTTGTGAAAATGTGCTAGGTGTGGTTTGACAGAGTGGTAGTCTACAGTAGACCGCCGTACTCGAGTAGAGTAGACCATGATAGCAGCTGTGCGGTAGTCTACGGAGGAGGCCGTTCTTATCGTGGAGCTTCTAACTTTGTAGGTATATGATACCCCCATCCCTCCTTTCCCTCGTCTTTCGGGTTAGGGTGGAGGATGACTTGACATGATAACGGGGCGGTGGCAAAATTGTTGGAATCACGACAATCATTCCAGGTTGACTAGCAAATTTTTCATTCTTTCCCCACTTCTGACTCCGGTGCTCTGTTTCGTTCACTCTATTTTTTCCCTCCCCGTCCGCGAGGAACAGAAGGAATCAATCCAATTGCAGCTTCGCCCGCATTATGATACTTGTATGATATCCGAGTAATAAACAAACTGCATAATGCCGGTGAAACGAACCTTGAACCCATAACAAATGAAATGAAACCAGTCCCAATAATACTATCAAAAGAAGGATATAATAATGAAAATTGCCCAAAGGATGAGATGAAAAAAGGAAGGAGAGTATATCTCCCGGTCGGCAGACAAAATAGTACTAAGACATCGGAGGGTAGAACCAGATATTATTAACCCAAAAGAAAACTGTCCCTCACAACACCCATGCGGCCCATTGTCTCCACTTCCACATACCCGTTTCCCGGTCAAGTATTCGCTTTTGTGTAGAAAATCAAAACCCTTGTAAAGGAATCCATGAGAGAAAGAAAGAAAGAACAGCAAATCTAACGCCTTTCCCGCAGTGGATCACTACCCCGCCGTGACCTCTGCTGCTAGAAGTGGGAAGAAATGAAAGAAGCAAACAACACCAAATACTAAACTCGCCCACGGGAAAGGATAAAGTAGGGAATGGAGAAATAAAACATTCAAGGAAAAATGCCCCGACAAAGGGAGATGCATATAGGGATTCATGTAGCGCCCATCAAACAACGTTGGCCAGCACCGAGGCGTCACCCCCAGCTGCTTCAACAGCTGCCGCAGCAGCAGCGGCGAGCCTTCTTCTCTTCTCCGTAGCCTCCCGTTCTCTCCTGGCCTTGGTTTTGGATGACCCACTTGGCGCTACGCCATTAAGAATTCGTGTTTTGTCTTGAGGTGTGTAGTTGACAAATGCCATTTCTGTCTCTCCCGGTATACACAGGGCCGGTGAGGCACCCGATTTTGCCTGCGAACGCATTGACCCTGCGCTCGCTTTCCTTCGTGAGCATGAGCCAGGCCGCGACGACTTTAGTTTCGGGGGTTTCGACGCTACCAGAGCTGCCGCCGCTGCTGCCGCCGCTGTAACTGGTGGTGAGCCACTTCGGCCGATGGACGGGGTAGGCGGATAACCAATTTCTGGTGTAGGTACTGCAGAGGGGAAATAGAAGTCTGGAGATTCGGGAGGGGAAGGGATTGGGGACGCCGTACTTTGAGGATAGATGCCACTGTCCTCATCGTCGAATGCAGGCGAGGGGGGCTGGTGGATATAAAGTAAGCTCCCGTAAGGAGAATGGCGAGAACCGTCATCGTTGTATCTCGCAACCGTTGAGGCAGATGCTTCCTCATTAGATTGGGACTGAATCATGTTCAATCTCCGGATATCGACCTTGGGAGCTTCACTCCACCAAGACTCAGGCGGCTCGGTCTTGATCGCAGACGTGCCCGAAGACATGGGTAGTTCGAAGGAGTGTTGGGTGAGATTGTTAGGCATCCAGGGGTTATAGTCGATCGACAGGCCGCGAGTCGCCGGTGGCTCATAGAACATAGTGGTATCTGTTGGAGCGCTTGACCGGCGGATCGAGTAGTGGAGGGCTTGCTGCTCATTTACGGTCGAAGGTGTCGATAAGGAGGACATGCTGTGTGGGCGGGCAAGTGTCACTGGGTCGTTGCTGTAGGGCGACGACAGGTTTTCGGCTGATAGACTAAAAGGGGTCTTGATCGAGTATTCCGAGCGGGAGCTCAAGGGTCTCGGCGATATATCTGAAGGAGCGTATCTGGGGATGTTGCTTATGGGTTGTGGCGAAGAGTAAGCAAGAATCTCATCGAAACTCAAGCTGCTATCATTGGGAGTGGTGGCTGCTGTCGAACAGGAAGTGACAGTGGAGGGGGGTGCAGGCGAATGAGTGGACGAAGAGTTGGTTGTACTCGCGGTGGTGTGATGCGGGTGCAGCTGCTGGGCAGTGTCTCCCAACTTTGTGGCAGTCGTCATTGACATTGACAAATAAGCCCTCCTGGCCTGGTGCAGATCACGACTTTTACGGCGCCGAAGGGTGCGAAATTTCTTTTCAACAGGAGCGGGGGTAAAACCTCCAGCGTTGGCACCTATGATCGATTTCTTATGAGAAAGGGAAGTAGAGGGGTGCGAGGAAGGGGTGTAGATTCCTGAAGCCAATGTGCCGCGGCTCGATTCTAGTACCAAAGGCGGGCTCGCAGGGGTGGCAACGGATGCAGAAGTATGGGAAGGAGTAGATATAGTAGGAGTAGTTGATGCTATAGACTCGAATTCCCAATCACAACCAGACTCTCCCTCAGAACATGCACAAGCACGAGCGCGAGCAGAAGTAGAAGTAGCAGAGGAGAGAGGAGGAGAAATAGTGGAAGAAGCACAACGGCAATTTTGACGGTAAGAAGGGGATCTCATGGCCCCTTGGCTAGACAGAGAGTTGCCCTTATAGCGGGCAGAGGTGTGCATGTGCATGATTTTCGTGGGTGCTGAGTGAGTGGCCCGAAGTGGAAGAGGCGGGGCAGCCATTTTTGGAACAGTGTGTGGTGAGGATAATACCGGTAGCGTGAGTGTAGAGAGTGATAGTGAAGGATTTGGGCCTTGCAAGAACTGGTTTGGTGGGACGGCATTATTTGTATCTGTATTAGACTGCTTCCCCAGCCCATCCCTACGATAAAGCTGTAGAGCAGACGAATTCTGCCAAGACCTCCTTGCATGCTGATCGTTCGGACCTGCAGCAAATGGTTTCGCAGTCGGGGTGGTGCTGGTGTTGCCAATCCTCCCGGCAATGCTGTCTGCCCTGTCCTCGTTGCCACAAATGCCCTTCCTATCACTATTGCTACCCTTATTGTCGCTGCCCCCCTTCATGTTGGTCTCGCTACTGTTAGTCTCTGTCCCAATAATTTCCTTGGTATTGTCTTTGCCACTCCCGCAAAGCCTTGTCTCCCCTTCCATCCATCTTCCATTATCACGAAATGGTCCAGATATCGTCCCGGTGGGGGTTGTGGGGCCGCCATCTTCCCCGATCATCACAATTTTCCCCTCAAACTCACAGTCCCCATCTCCCCCAAATCTGACCTCTTCTTCCCTTCCGTGAGAATCCACCACAAAGTCGAATAATGCGTCGTATTGCACATCTTCAGCGAAAAGCCGCACTGCGTCAAAGGTGTTGCCGCCGTTTCCGGAAACATGCATATCGTCTGGCATCCACATACTTTTTCCTGAAAAGAAAAAAAACTTCCTCTTTTCTTGTTCTCCCCGAACCTTATGATTTGATTTGAGGGAGTCTAATTCTCCCAAGCCCCACGTTGCCTTGATTGCGATCGAAACGTTAAAAACTCGCGATAGTCGATTTGGTGGTGGTGGCGTATCACCCTTCTTGGCGCTCGGATCGTTACACTTGAGTGGTGGAACCAATAACCGTAGATAGCTAGCTTCTTGGGTGGGGAGAAAAGAAAAAAAAGGTAATTGATAGCAACACCCCGACCCTCCAGGATTTTTTAGCAGATAAAGAAGGGGTGGAAGGGCTGAGAAATGGTGGGGAAGAGAGAAAGTGAGATTGAGCTCAATAGAAAGGTTTGAGGGTGTGAGCGAGAAAAGGGTAAAAGACTTCTCGGAGAAAATCCCAGTTGCAAGTTATTGACAAAGTACAGTTTTGAGGTTGAGACAGAGATGTCAGTAGGTAACAAGCACTCCTCTTAACAACTTTCGGAAACGAAGGGAATCCAAATACCCCAATCCCAAGAGATGTTTCCAAATTCTGGTATGAAATAAGGGAATATAAAAAGGGTGACTATTCGAAGAGAGAACCCAAAGGAAATGATGCTTCTTATCCTTGCATTTGACCTGCAGTATCACCAGCCTCTTTACTTCCCTGGTTTCCTGTCTATTCGGTCCGCTCACGATAAACCTGGTAAGAAAATCAGATATCTCCTGAGTGCAACCCCGATCAACCAGCCATCCCAGATGTCAGCGAAAGATCACATGCACTGACAAGTATTAAAGTCCATGCCTTGTAGAGGTATCAAACCCTCGTAGCTACCCAACCACTGGTTCGAGCCCCGACATCACCAAAAGTAGGAGGCTCGCGAATGAATGGCCTACATTCCAAATCCACGACCGGTCATCTCTGCATACCCTAGCCTAACTTCAAAATTCCGGAAACCGAAACCAACGGTTCTGCATTCCGTTTGCCTAAGCGAAACCTCCAGGCAAAGCTTGTTTTGAGTAGTGTCAAATAGCGTGGACAAGTAAACGGTCACAATCCTGCCCTCGACCTGCTGATCCGCTGGAGAGCGACACAACAAAAGAATACTCACTATTGCCATACTCGAGTATTGATCTGTTGCCCACACATCCTCCTTGGATCGGTAAAAAGACCCGAGAATGTCTCGCACATTCAGACTACAAAACTCATGTTACCCATTTTTAAATGCCTCGTAACCCTTTTTAATAACATAATCAAAGAAAGGTAAAATGTTTCCCCGAGATTTGCCTGAATAATAGCATTATGTTTGTATCCTAAACGGGTATGTCATGCCCGATCTCATGCGGAGAGGCTAGGAATCTTCGGAGTAACACCTCTAAACGGTTTGCAGAACGGCGCGAAGATTAAACTTTTTTGACCTTTTTGGTATCGACTTCGTGGAGCAGGATACAGATGCAGGTTTTTTTGTCGAAAAGGGCAGAGTGCGGGGCCAGTTGTCCCCCGGTAGAATACAGCATCCGGTTGTGCTTATGGCCGGTCATGCCCAGCATTTGCTGTTAGAGTACTTAGTACTATTGTACAGTACTAGTACCAAGTTCACGACCAGCATGATAGGCGATCCATCATTGAAAACGTGGATGACGCCCACCCAGGCCAAAGGAATTTCTACCGCCAAGAGTAATCGGCTCAGTCCCTAAATTCTCTCTTATCATACTCAAGACAAAGAAAATAAAAGGAGGGGTAGTACGAGTACTAGGGGTCCGGCAGGTTATCGCGCCCCGAAGTCTCCGACCGCTCAGCGGAATGGTGGTCGGTTCGGCCCAGCAGCCCCACGAAGAGATTTCCATACCATACAACAGATAGTCTAATGCCCAAGTATTTGCATTCGCGTCGGCAAATTTGAATGCAACCTACCAGCCCCTCGAATATCAAGAAATGGCGTGTGAGCCAACAAAAGCAACACTCGCGGATGGGAATTTTGCTCGGTTTCCTGATGAATTCCTTGGTATCGGGTACAATATTGAGAGTTCGCTGTGCGAAGGATCAAAAATCTTGCCAACCACGGGTGAAAATGATTCGCAAACAATGTAAACCGACTTGCCTGATAGCGTATTCGCAGTGAGACGCACGTTGTCCAAATATGGGCAATAGTAACAACAACGCCATGGAAGCCAATTGTGTCGGGCACCTGGTGATAAGGCACACAGGGATTAAAAGACCAGTTTGGGTCAAATTGTCCACACACACGCTACATAATGAAACATAGCACCTGTCCTAGACTCTACCAAAAACAGCATTAGGGCTTCGGATTCGAGGGAAAGCAAGGTGCCGAGAAACGGATAATCTCAGCGCCCATAAAGCCATGTGAAAACTTGCTCCATTCCCAAAACGTGGGATATACGTGGCGTTTGAAAGTATCTACACCATCGTTATCTGTCGGGAGCACCATATCCCGTTCGGAGTGAAGAGATGCTCACTCAGAACTAGCAAACGCCGGTGAATGTGGAAGCGGTGATAACGAATGCCAAACGAAGCTTAGGATGGTTTGAGTGAAACGCCGTTGTGGCTGAACTGAAAATTGGGTGGAGGAGCCTTCGGACATGTTCCCTTGTGGAGAGCGCTCACTATCTTTCCTCTTCAAGTTACCGATACAATCAAAGTTGATGATAATGGGGATGCGGTACCGTACTTCACTGTGGGTAACGGGCTGAAGCCCTCCATTGTTAATAATAACCTCGGTGAAAAGTTGCAAGGGCCTCAAAATTAAAGCGGAATTTGGGCTCCACTAAAAGCCTAAGATAACGGTCGAAAGCAGTTCGACAGCAGCGGCTCTGAAAAGCTGCCCATCGGAGTTGCCCACGTTGGGCCGATATGGCTAGCACCTTGTCAACAGCAAATCACTCAATCCACGAGGCCCACAGAAGCCTGCTGTTTCCCCAATTAATCAATAAAGAATACTCGAATAGTTGCACAAATACGGGTCTTGAGGTTCCTAGCTTAGAGGTTGTTGGACAAGCGAAGGGAAATATCTGGCGAATAGCAATGGATAATCAGACGCTATATCGACACAAATTTGTCCTAACTTATCTCCTAGTCTAATGATGCTAATGGTTTAGTTGGTACCATACCATAGGAGTTGAAACTTTCAAAGTAGAGCTACAGGCTGAAAGTTGCCACAATATTCTGGAATAGACGTTTATCTGCCAAGGTCTTTGGTTTGGTGTTTGATTATGGGGCATAAGGTGAACTACCGAACCACTTTGTCAGGAACTATGCTATGATATGACACCTCTTCATGTAGAATTGGGCGGGGGTTAAGGTCACAAATAAAGAGGATGACGCAACCTGCACTAATCCAATTCTATAGCGTCTCTGATGACACCTCCCCCTAGACACCTGTCCCTGAACCATAATGCTGCACTTTGTCCAGGAGCGATAGCCATCGCTGGACTGTCGAATATAATCTTCAGCGCGGGGGCGGGTTCATTCCCTTCGGAACACGGTCGATACCCAGGTCCCCCAGGCTGCTCCACGCTAGAAACCTTCAAGGGGATCTGTCTGTGTCTGAATTGAGTTACCAAACCTCTCCCATTGGAAGCTGATCGTTCTCGAACTATATCTGCAGCATCATCGCCTAGCCATCTCCATTTCTCAACAACCATCCCTTTCCCATATAACCTAGCGTTGTCCTGGCCTCTCACGATCTCCAAAGTATTAAGTTCTCTATTCTTCCTAGAAACGTACCACTTGCCCCGATATTCTGGGCTCGCTTGTGGTAATTGGAACCGGGCCCTTTCTCCTATAGTCGCATGCCAGAGGCCCGCATGCTTCCCCACAACTGAACCTTCTGGCGCGCATGCCCCCTCAGACTCGCCCCCTCCAGGGTATTTCTTTGATGGTCCAATTACCACATCGCCCGGTTCCGGCTCAAGATATCCCGATAAGAAGCGGCGAAACCCGGTTTTCCCTTTCCCACCCGCAGGCTCCACAAAACAAAGCCCCATGCTTTCCGGGCGTTCGGTTTGTCCGGGACGCCACCCCGGTAGTAAAAGTTCGCGAGCAAGAGATTTAACACCTGGCTTGGAAAGTCCGTAAGAACCTAAAGGAAATAGAAGTCGAGAAAGAACGTCCCGATGTAATGTCGATAGATAAAAGGTTTGATCCTTGTTTATATCGATGGAACGGAGCAAGTGGTAGGATTTGGTAGGGATATGATATAGGATATGAGCGTAGTGGCCTGATAGGATAAACTAGTGAGCAGTGCTCAGTAATATACGAATTCAAATTGGAGAAAAGGGAGGGTGCAGAAATTGTTTGTCTAGACCTAGAGAGATACGCTTACCAGTTGCCAACCACCACTTGCTCCCCTTTTCCGTCACCCCTTCCCACCGCCTGCGGAATTCATCTCTCAACCTCTTGATAACAGCGCCGAATTTGATGTGGCGATTACACTCAACGTCCGGATTTGGGGTCTTTCCGCACCGGTACATCTCGAGCATGGGAACGAAAACTTCGCACCAGTACTCCTTTTCAAAGTTCATACATATGGGCTCAGGCAAATCCAGAGCTCTGCAGACATCCTTTACGTCGTTAAATTCCCTCTCTGTGCATTTTAAGGATCCTTCGTTAGATTGTGGTCGAGTCGAGGCGCGATTTCGCCGAGCTCTACCGGGCAGCGATGGCGGCGGCGGGATAGGGTCTGGATTGGCGGAGGGAGACCAATTCGCCATGTAGAACGGTAACAGGTTTTCCCGTGGATGTCCTGAGCGTAATAGGAGCGCAGCTGCCACAGAGGAATCAACCCCAGAAGACATAGCAATGAAGACTATAATAGACAGTCTATCAGCCAATAGTTCAAATAGCTAAAAGGTGTTCATCATAAAATGTCTCAATTGGGATAGGCCGCCTGTAATACCATACTTTTATCATGAGGCGAAACATTCGGTTCCGAATATTCGGCGGCGGAAAAGGGTTGAAAATGCTGTCGTTGGATGGCTGAGATGAAAAACGGAGCTTGCACTGGTTTTCGTGGCTTCGGTTTCAAGCGGAAGAGCCTCAACGAAGTGCGAGTGAGTGTTTGACCATTCATCTGTGATGATGTGTGCTGGCGGATACCAGTGGTGTTATTACTTTGTGGTGTCGGACCAGACCTGTATCACCGAATACCGTACCGTACCAGTACCGTATGCGGATCAAAGTGGTCGAATTGCTGAGAAGGGAACCAGTACCGTACCAGTACCCTAGCTAGGAATTACTCGTACAGTACGGTACTCGAGTATTGATGCGATAGCACACTGTATTGTGTTTATAATATGATACGTTACGGGGTCCTAGAGTTGCACTTTTGTCGGGGAGAGATTCACCATTCTGAAGTTTAAACTGTGGTACCGGTATGGTACAAGTAGTGTTTCGGTCGTTTTTTATTTAAATTTTCTTTTTCTTCTGCCCTCCTTTCTCCCTAAGATGATCCATTAAATTTCGGTGGGGCGCTTGCAAAATGGTAAATGCTGTGGCGCATTTTCATCAGCCACACTCAGGCCAGATTCAAGGGACCCAACCACACCCTCCCCACTCCTGCTGAGTAGGCAAGAGTGGCAAGTCCAGGCTTCCCCCCCCCCAGATGTGCGTCATGGTCCTGCCCTCTTCCCACGCACTTGCCCTGCAAAGATGAATAAAAGGAGGTCACCATAATTGGAATGACTAAGAATTTGGTGGCGGGTGATTTCACGCTGCTTCTCTTCCACCCCCTAAAACTTTGGCCCCTCTTGGAACCCTTCATCTTCTCCTCCTCTCTAACATTGCCTCTCCCCCCAAAAGAAAAATCCCCCCATTTTTTATCAACCGTGAATTCGTCTTGCTGAAGGAGGGGGAATATCGACTCGTCCCTGCTGAACAAATAGCGGGAGAAGAAAAAAGAGACAAAAAGGATAAATCTGGATGTCAGAAAGGGTACTTGCTTCGTGATTCTTCTCCTTACTTTATCATCGCTCCAAGTCTTCCTGAGCTTTTCTCGTGTGTTTGTAAGAACGATCGCGGAGTTCTCTCTCAAAGACGCGACACAAAGCAAGCTGCAAAGCCAACAGGTGGGCAAGCAAACAAAAAGGGCGAGAAGGAAAGGAGGAACAAAAATAACCAACTTTACAAGTTGAAAGAGCGAGAAGGGAAAACCGATATCCGATCAACTCCCTTTTTTTTTTCTCATCCATCCCCTTCCCCTTCCCTGTTTCTTTTCTCTAAACGATACCACCGTGAAGAAGCAACGCGAGTTCTTTTCGTCGGGCTTGCTCATCATCTTCCGACCACAAGTCCTGCGCAACACGCGGGAGAAATAGGTCGCAAATTTGTCCTAAAAAAGGTAGTACCTCTACGGTCGCCGTATTTGGTAATTTCGTGCATTAACCTTCCATTTTTGAAAGTTTTCTACCCGATTAGTACTAGCGTTATCTGCATAGTCGCGACGTTTCTGCAACCCTCCAAACACGAGGTTTCTTTCTTTTTTCCTTCTCTTTTTTATTATTATTTTTATTTCCTCTGAAAAAGAAAAATAAGGCACCAGATAATAGAACTGATAATGGACACCGCGAATGTCAGTAATTCTGGTGGGTTGGTAGGTGCGGCTCTTCGTGGAGGAGTGGCCGACGGTCTGGTTCAAGGTCAGCCTTCTTCCTCGCAGGCTGAGTTTGTGCCATACCAACACCAATTGGTTTTCGGCCCTGGTACCAACGAATACTCCGCCATTCCAGAATCGTTTCCACACACAGAATACAACCCATATCCATCTTCCGAGGCATGGAATGCTCCTTCACAGCCTGCACATCAACAACACGCTCAGCATTATACGTCCCTCGATCCAATGTCCCACTTTGCTCCTCCGCCTCATGCCTTCCCTCAGCAGTTTACACCCCATAACTTTCCAACAAACCAGCATCCCTTTGCAGCTACTGGTGCTGTCACAACGGCCTCTCCTCAAATTGCCACAGGTGCGCTCTCGACTCCTCCCACTGTTGTGGTGGGCGACGTTTGGAGGGAATATCCTCCCGCCGCTGTCACAACAGCCACAAACGGTGCTCGCGGTGCAACTAATACCAAGTCAGCTCCAATTACAGCTGCACGTACCAAACAATCGCATAAACCTCCAAGTATACAGCAGAGCTTTGGACCGAATGTTGTGCGAAACGTAGCGACCTCAACTCCAAATGCAGCAACCCTAACCACAAATGCAATGACTTCAACCACAAATGTAACGACTTCGACCCCAAAAGCAAATGCAGAGACCCGTGTCAAAGGGTGCCCTAATGTAACCGTATGGTCGCCCCATGATCCGTCGCTACAACTCTCTTTGGACTTCCTAAGTATCTCCTCATTTCGCAACAATCCCCTTCCCGATTATCGACCTTCTAACTTTCTTATAGAAATGATATCAAGTGTTGCGCTCGGGGGCGAGCCGTCAGCATCGGTAGGCCCGCCAAAAAAGAACCAGAAAGTAGCCAGTGCTGCGAGTACTACGAAAGCTCAGCCTGTTAAAACAGCCGCGCCTCCCAAATCTAAGCTCCCCGAGGACCCTGTTGAGAAGGTTAGGTATCAGATTGAAGATGCATTGGAGTGCGATGGAGACGATGATATTGAAGACATCCGTAAAGCATCCAAACAGGTTTGGGATGTAATCATCGGGATACGGCCTGAACAGTCTAAGCTGGTTGAAGTAGCTGTACGCGCAATTCTAAAGGTCGGCGATAATCAAATCTTGAGGGCCCTTGGGGAGTCTATCCTATTCTCAATAAGATTGCGAAAGTGGATGACAACCGAGTGGAACAGAGATAGAAATAGTCCTACAGTCTTCTTGATACTAAAGGCAAGTTTCCCATATACTCCATCCACATGGTGAGCCCGTCCCCTTTAACACATCTAACTTGCGTCTAGCTGTTGTATAAGTTCTGCGTATCTGAGGAAGATCTTGAACAATCATCGTGGATCAAGGCTCTAAAAAGTATTGGGTCGAAGTCAGAGGATCCAAAAACAAGGGAAATTTGCATGGCAATCACAAGGAGTGCTAGAGAACGCTCTGCTAAGAGGGAGAGGGAAGAGAAAGCTAAGGAAAAGCAACAGAAGCCCGCGTCATTAGCAGCCTCCTCTTCTCTATCTGACCGCACTAATGATAAAGAGAAGTCTTTGGGGAATGGGGCAGCAGCCAAGAGTGAGGCCAGTAGTAATGTTAATGTTGGCATTAAACGCAAGAGCGAGGACGATGCCAGAGTTGGTCAAAATACTATCAAGAAGATTGCTTTGGGTGAGGGAAAAATCCCCGCTGTGTCGAGCTCCCCAAATCCAAAGACTGGTTTATCTGCCGGTAACTCTAAAAATGCAGCGACACCTACCGCCGAGAAGAAATTGACTACAAGTACTGCAACTTCCACTAGCGCAAATGGTTCTTCTGCATCTGCCAAGCCGAAAACCACTACTTCCGGCTTTTTTAAGTCTCTCCAGGGCAACCGTCCAGCCATTGTCACAAAGTTCGTTGATTCCCCTCCCTTGGTTACTTCGCGTGAAGCCTTCCGTTTCTGGCCAAAGATCTGCAATTATTAACTTGTCACGTGACCCAATAGGCCTGCTGAAAAGAAATCCACCCCCAACCCTGAATCCACCCCCAGCACATTCACTAGTATTTTCGACCAGCTTGTCCGCCAACAAAAGGAAGGCACTACCGGACTAAGGCCTGATTCTGATTCTAAGAAACGTGAGGCCGATGAAGACCAAAACGGCTCCAACAAGAAGGTCAGAAAGAAGAAGACTGTCCGGTGGAAGACCGGGGAGGATCTTGCTAGGGTCAAGGTTATCGAGTGGGTTGAGCCAGAAGGAGAATACTATGGAGGCAGTAGCGGACACGAAAATCATGAATATGGAAATGCCAGGAATTTTGATGTGGAAGAAGGTAGGGAAGCGTTGGCTGCCCTCAAGAATCGAAATTTCTTGGAAGATGAGGAGGATCTGCTCGATTGGTACCAGCCATTATGTGGGTGACCCTATTGCACCCCGAATCGGATTTCGTTTTTATCTGACATCATCTAGCTATCGACTTTGGCGATCTCAATCATGCCTCCACCTCCGCAGATAATGCCATCAGTCGTGGAGGGAAGAAGGAGATTATTAGCGAGGAAGCTAAAATTCAGTCAAAACGCGAACTTCAAACCTTGTCGGCGCTTTATACCTCTCCGGCTGCCATCCCATATTCCCCTCGAGAACCCGATTCCAACAGTGACGGTTCTCAGGAATTCGGTCAGCAGCCAACTATCATTCCATTACCGGATCGTCTAAAGGTACGCATATTTCCTCAAATTTTATCAATAATTGGCATCCATCCCATACTGATTCATTTCCAAGCCTCCAACCGGCCTCGAGAATTCGTTTGGCTCTGTTCAGCTGAACCCACAGCCTGCTGCCGTTGCTGACATCTCATCGATACTCTCCGCTATTAACAATTTTCAACAGCCAGCACAGAGCCAAACTCAAGCTACCGCCAATAGTATTCTAGCCCAAATACAGGCAATTACCCAAAGCCAACAGCAACCTGCTGTACCACCTTCTGTGCCATTCACACAGCCCGTAGCTCAGCAAATTGCGCAAGCTGCACCTGCGCCAGCCCAACAACCTGACCTTGGCTCCATACTTATGGCACTTGGGCCTAACTCCAGCCAACAGCAGCAAGCTGGTACCTCTTTGCTGCAGAATCTAGTGCAACAAGGCTCAGCTGCCCAAGGAGGCACCTCCGCTGCTCTAACTAATATTCTAGCACAGATGTCGTCTAACCCAACAGCCTTCTCTTTTGGCCAAACTATCCCAAATACGTATGACACTTCTAATTCCCAAACATGGCCTACATACGAACCGCAATTTCACCAACCATATGGGAGCACCCCCAACCACTCTAACCAATCCTCGTGGGCTACGGGTAGTGGAACTGACGAGTTTGGACGCACCCTACGTGAGGGCGACCGAGAAAAGGAGGGCAGAGGCGGCAAAGATGTTCGTGGTGCGTTGAGAGAAGCAACCGGCTGGGACGAGAGAAAATCAGAGGTCGAACGTCACAACGGGAGCGGGAATAATGGGAATAATGGGAATGAGCCTACTCGTGGAGGATGGAGTGGTGGTAAACATAAGAAGGTAAAGAGGCCCCGCAGATAACTCTTGCATACTCTCATAGCCCCCCTGAATTACATGGCACATACCTATACCCAAATGCTTTCTTTGAATGGTAAACGAGAAGTTTGATCATTTATTTTTTAAAAAAAAGAAAGGAGAAAAGAAAAGGCTTGGCTTCAACAGGCATGTAAGCATCGCCATGTCCTGCCTGGCCCTGTAGTCACGCCCAGCTAGAGTTGCAGATATTGCAGCATTTCTCCCTCCTTTCCCTCTTTGAAGGGTTTGGGGGAAACAAAAGACCTCCTTATGGGGGAGAGTAACTACCGTTGAAAATTATTTCAACAGTAGGTACTCGATAGGGAAAATTGGGCAAGAGAATCCCCGCCCAATGCCCCTTGAATCCCACAATGATTCGGTCATAATTTAGTGCCCCGTGCCTTTGTCCTGTTTTGTTCCCTTTTCACCCAATTTTTTTATTCGTTTATGCCCACCTTGCCTTGAAAGAAACGGTTGAGTTGATATATTATTTTTATTATTATAGGAAAAGAAACCGGCAAAGGTTGCCTGTCTCTTTTTCCAGAAAGGGAATTGCAAGAACGGCGATGGCTGCCGATTTTCCCACGACAAAGGAGGTGGAGGAGGGTCGGGGGGTGGAAAACGGCGGGGCGGCGGCAGCGGTGGTGGTGCTGGAACCGCGGGTTGGCCATCATCTATGGAGATGGAATATTAATTATTTTTTGGATATTCCGCGTGGCGAATCCTCTATCGATTGAAACCCTTTTTTATACCTGGCGAACTCCTGCCCTTCCCTCCCTATCAAAGGCAGGGCGAAAATGCACTAAAAAATGTCAACACGCGCCACGCATGCGTGACATATTACCGGACAAAAAACATCTTCTCAGCATTTCTCAAATCCTTTTATCTACTTAAGCCCTACATCCTTATATATCCTTTTCCTACTCGCTACCCTTAACACATTCCTGCTTTCATCAATTTTGTTTTCTATATTTTCTCTATTTCCTGTCACCAGACAAAAAAGTTACTCCTTTCCTTCCTTTCTTTCATAGTTCCTCCCTTCGCAAAGGAGTTGTAAAATAGTATCTTATGACGGCTTTCCCTTTTTTAATTTTCTCATCTCAAGTTAGTCTTTATTTATTCATCTTTTTCCTTTTCCCCCTCCGCTTCCCCTTTGGTATCCCACTTTTATCTCATCTAGCCCTGTATAGATTAATCTGGATTTTCCTTGTAGGAGTTTTGGGGATTGATTAATTGATTAATTGAGGATATTGTTTCGCCGCTTTCCCGGGGACGTGATTGCGGTTGCTATGATTTACCTCTCCACCCAAGTCTCTGTAGGAGAGGGAGAGGGGAGGGAGGCGTGGGTGTATTGTTTATGGCGATCTTGTGGTTATTCAATTGTGATATCTGTGTTTGGAATTAGGGGTGGTTGTTGAATATGATACGGGCAGATATAATACAAGTCTTTTTTTTTTTTTTTCCCTACCAAGACTTGTTATCCTACATTGTAATTCGATCGATTCTCGACTCGTTGTGTTCGTGACCTCAACAAAGTATCCTGAAGGACGATTTGATTTGCTATCCAAACACCAGTCCCTAACGCATCAGATAGATAGATGCCTTGCTCAGGAGCTCCTCTGAGTTACTTTAAACAGTTTGAGGCCACACACAACTAGCAAATAGTGTCTGAGATTACCACAATCACTTCCCGAGGAAAAAGCTTCGCCGCGACCAAATGCCGTTAGAACGTATTGATTTGCCATGTTACCTGTACGAGTACAGTACAGGTACTCGTACCGGCACTCGTAACAACTAGAGTATGAGCTAAATAATGAGCTAGTATAGGTTATCCATAGAGAATCCTTCGAGGCTCTTATTTCCCGCCCTTGCTCGCTCATCCTTCCCCCGCCTCCCTTTTCAGCGGCCAACTGCGAGAACTGCGAGGTTTGTTGGGATAGCGCACACCACTCGGCAACCCCTACAAAGTACGGGGCAGTATTGCTACTATAATAGTGTACGGTGAGAACTCTTGAAATACACCATCTCTCCCAGCTCTGATGTTTCGATTCAGAGACAAAAACTCCTGAGAAGGGTTAGCATTTTCCTGACAGCGTATGATATCAACCCACCAGGAGAAGTGTTGAATCTCATCAACTCGTTTTCGCGATCCCGTTGGCCTGCCAAACTAAACCTATCGTGGGTTGTCGCACTGATTCCGGCTGGTATTATAATCGGATACCGTAAGAACTAGAATGATTGAACCTCACGCTAGGACGTTGGGGTTTGCCTCTCCTAGTAAGGTCTGCTATATATTTTTTTCTTTTTTATTTGTCTCAGCGGAGGGGCTGAAAGCATTTCCCTCTTCAGGGGGATTCGCCTCCCTTTGTCCAAAGAGGGGAATTCCGGACGTCTTAGCGTGAAGTTCAAAAATTATCCCAGCTCTTACCATACGATAGCCGATTCCAAGGGTTCTTACGGCACTTTTATGAGGATACAGATTGATGCCTGTAAGGGCCCAGTCCCTACAACGCTAGGGGTAAAACATCATGCTTAAAGAAACCTTTACAGGCGCTATATCCTCATAACCCCAGACATACCCTCACAGATCAGAACTCGTTTGCCGGGGTTGATAAACTGTTGGATATCGTCATCCAGCTTACGCTTGTTGCGTTGGAGAGGTGTCTGTATGTCGTGCGTGGTATTGCATTCACAAGGGAATTTCTACGGACAGTATTTAAGGGACCTGTTATCCCTCGGTGAAACCCAAGGAAAGTCACCTTTACCACTCGTGCCCGCACACTTTTGCCCCCTACTAACCCCGATTTACAACATAGACAAAGGGCGAGCCGGACCGGAGAGCCGACGCGGCCCGCGCTTCTACTATACTCGTACAGTACAGTACTTGCAAGAGCCACCACTCTAGCGCGTGCTCACTATCGAACCTACTCATACCAGTCCCCTTTTGTCCGCCCAACAAAGCCTCGTTGGGGTTGAGAAAAGTTGAAGTGGGGGATTCCATTTCAAGCTACCGTACCGGTATGTGAGAAAAGAGATGTTCCATCCCTGCCCGCACCGTAGTGTTGCGGCTTTCTTGGATAGCTTGCGGGGGGGGGGGGAAAGATTGCTGCTTGGTAAATTTACAAGGGGTTATTAATAAAAGTCTAGATTAGCGTTTGCTTTTTCCCATGGGTCTCCTCCCAACAGCCAATCAATTTATCAGATTGTGGTGATAGGGTTGATATTCAAGGCTAGCGGCTATTGGCTTCGCGAACCTCACCGTTGGACTTGGGTGGTACTTGTATACGACACTTGAAGCAGGGTTTTTTTATTTTATTTTATTTTTTATCCTTCACAGAAAAACTGATAGGTAGACTACAGGGTTGGGGGCACGATAGCGTTCCAATCAGTTAAACTAACCGAGACCCGGTACCAGAACTGGAGAACTTGCTGCTGTTCACTAAACATTTGCAAGGGTGAGTGAAGGAAATGGAAATGGAAAAATCTTCCCCTTGGATCGGGCGGATGGGTTAAGTGGATTAGTCACTCAGTATGGCATCATAGGTGGGGCGCTCGAGTATGGAAGTGCTTTCGTGCTCTTCGACATAATTCAGCACGAGCGCGAGCCCCGGAGCTGCGCTTTGGTGTGGGGATTTTTCAATCGAAAAGAGAAACACTCGTATTTATCTATAAGGCAAGTATATCTACAGTAGTAGCATTGTAACGTTACACGAGCAGATACAAATGTTGAGGGATAGCAAGTGGTCATAGGACCGTTCTGATGAATACCCCGCTAACATTTGCTGCTAGCTACGGTAGGATTCATATGCATGTTCGATAGGGAAACTTCAACTTTATGATATTGTAGGTGATACCGATGTGTGGGTCCGACAATTTGCCATCGAGCAAGATTCTTCTTGTTGGCCCACAGGTTGCGATATCTAAACCTGGATCCTCGGTACTTGAGCGCGATAAAGCTGCTAGCGAGTGAGCTAACCACATTCCATGAGGCGTTCTGCATGAAACATCTAGTTGGGCCAAATAGTAAGACCCAGATTACCCATAAGACGTTGGAAGAAGAATCCTTGCAGAACCCACTCTTCTCGAGATCTCTTTTCGATCGATGCTTGCCCCACCGGAAGGAGAAGGTCTCAACAACTTTGCCATTCTTCTTCTACCCCGCGCGAGGACCCCGATTCGCCCACCGTCACGATTGACCGACAGTGGTGGCGAAAAGTGACATTAATGATATGGGACGTGGGATTGTATTGCGCACACAAGGGTATGTTTTTTTTTTCCCAGGATAATGATAAACATCCTGGCCTTTGAAATTACCAGCCGAGGCGTGAGTTTTTTGGTAAAGCACTTGTGTCACAATGCTAGCACCTTAAATGGACCTCTTCCGCCCGTCGATAGGCATTCTGTAGCGAGAAGGATAAGTCGGCGAAATCGAATACGGAACTAGGTAAGAATGAAGACATAGGTGTTTTTTTTTGGGGGGGGGAGGGGGGATCACTAACGGAAATACAGTAGGCAACAACCTCCGAAATCCCTAGAGAGAAAAATGACTTCAGCGGGAGTGACCCCAACAAGCCTCCCCGACAAAGGGAAAGAGCTTTCAGAAGGGGTCCAGGAGTCACGGATTTCTGGAAGTGACCCGGAACTAATGGAGGATAGAGAGGGGGGCGAGGATACGGTGCTTGATGCGAAAATTGAGAGAATCTATAGGTGAGATCTCCGCGATTCTTGATGATAGAAACTCTCGTCTGGATACTGGTACTAACATTTTTGATAGAAAGCTCGACCTTCGGATAGTACCTGGTAACCTCAAGTTCACTCGTACAACGCGAAAGGAAGCAAAACTAACGTTTCATTAGCATTCTGGGTCCTCTACTTTTTATGCGCAGCAATAAGGTCCAATGTCGGCCTCTCACTAACGATGAACTCCAAGGAAAAGCATTCCTTGTCTGATCGCCTGAAATTAACCCCTCACGAGATCAGTACGGGCCTCGCACTCTTCTATGTTTGCTACGTCCTTTTTGATCTACCGGCGAACCTGATAATGACAAGGCTGAGCCCGCACGTCTGGATGTCTAGAATTGTCATTGGTGTGGGAATCGTGGGCAGTTGTCACGCAGCACTGAGCGCTGAATGGAACTTCTAGTAAGTCACCATCATATCTTCATCGAAACCATTAGGACAAATGGCTAATACTGGATGAAAATAACAGTCTCCTCCGTGTTCTCTTGGGGATTGTCATCGCGGGCATGTGGCCCGGAATGGCCTACTACCTAACCCTATTCTACCCACCCTCGCGCACGGGAAAGCGCATAGGTCAATACTTCACTGCGGCCCAAGTCTCCGCGGCAGTTGTGGGTCTTGTAAGCGCCGGGTTCCAAAAAATGGACGGATACGGTGGCCTAACAGGCTTCGAATGGATGTTCCTGCTCTACGGTCTTGTGGCCGTTATTGATGGAATAGTCATCCTCTGGTGGTTGCCAGACAGACCGAGAGCCCCAGGAACACACGTCCAGCCAACCGGCTGGAGGCGCTATATCCCGGCCTCGCAGCCCGCACTCAAGGGTGAAGATGCGAGGGTTCACTATGAGGACTTGACGAGGGTGTACCACAGCAAACCGTGGGGTGTGAAGGATCTTGTCAAGATCTTGAGGGACTGGAGATTGTACCCGTTGACAATCATGTACTTTGGTGTTGTCGGCGTCGGGATTGGCGTGCAGAATTTCGGAACGCTAATCATTCGAGCGACCAATCCTAAGCTAACCAGTGTTGAGCTGTCACTGCTGTTCTCCCCAATTTGGGTTTGCGACCTTATCGCCATTCTGCTGGTCACGCCGATCAGCGACCGCTTCCATCACTACCGCGCTCTGTTCTTTAGTGTCCCCGTGTGCATCCAGATCTCTGGATTGTTGGTAACTACATATGCCGGTGGTCCGGATAACCCCTGGCCGAGATATGTTGGTCTCTTGATGGTGGGATTCGGATTAGGCCCTACAGTACCAATCTGCATGACCTGGACAAAGTACCCCCCTCCGTTTTGTTATACATTCACATCTTTCACTCGGACTAACAAAACCCAGCGAGATCTTCCAACGCCGCCACGGCGAAGTCGGCGTAGCCGCTGCCTCGGCATTGGTCTCTGGCCTGGGAAACCTTGGATCCGTAACAACCGTACCTTCCCATCCCCCCCTCTGTCCATATTGACCATACTAATAAATTATAAGACCTACGCACTCTACACCGGTTGGGACTCGGATAACAGGAAAGGCCCACACCAGTTCCGCAAGTCAAACCTGGTCATGATCGGGATCCTGTGCACGAGTATATTGTCCGCTGTCACGATGGGTTTGTTAATGAAGTTTGTGGATGGGAAGAAGACGCCGGAGGAGCAGGGCGCTGTTATGGACCGTGCGGCGAGGAGGGAGTTGAGGGGACAGAGGGGGTTTGGGAGGATTAAAGGTGGGGGTTAAGTTAGATGTGGGGTTTGTTACTAGAAGTACCCATGCTCGGACAGATGGGTTGTGCGGGGACGGAAAGGGTGTTTTTAGCTGGGGTAATGAAGTATAGGTGACTGGATTGCTAAAAAGGTGCTATGCTGTGCGTGCGATGTGTGAATGCTGAGCAGCCAGGATTGGGAATCTGCGAGGGATAAGCCGAGGCTTCCGGTCTCATTCATCCATTCCCTTTGCATATACCATTAAACCACACAGCACATCCCACTCCCACTCCCACCACTCTTAAGCACGTGCACACACGTGCCATAACATCCCATTCCTCCCTCCTATCATACCAATCCACTTGTCAGCACCTGCCTTCTATGAGTAGACTTACACATAGCCCTAGCCACCCCCACCCGTAAGCACCACACCACACCACACCATCGCTCACCATGCAGTAACGCAAGCTTTAATATCTACCGGTACGTTTCCACCGGACCTCCCCCCACTTTTCCACCTATTTCCGTCCCAGCCGTGGGTGTCACCATACCACTACAAATACTCACAATGACAGCACCGGACTCGGCGGAGGATAAAAAATAAATGGGATCGATCCGGCTTGATTTTTTTCCGAAAACCCCGCCGGTGAATGAATAGTACCGGTATAATGGTCCCGCTCCCTTCGGGTCTGTTTGAAGCATATCCAGGGCGTAGTTTACTACTGAATGATCAAGGAATGGTAATGAAGGGATGTATGTAGACTATTGGGCGGTTTGTTATTGTCGTGCTCGTTTCAATCGGTTCGCAGAACACACCATCCGTTTTCTTTTACGATAATAATAAAGAGGTGATCAATGAGAACCCCCACCTGGAGCAAACGACGATGCTTCCTCCGGAATCTTCATCTTCTAGCGTTGGAGATGGTGGCATCTGCCGCTGAGGCTTATCCTGTGCGGCCGTCTCTTTTGTTGGGTGGTTCGGGTGTCTACGTGCGGCCCATGAGAATGGGTTTTGATGCTCCGGGTGCGATGAACAGGGCTCTTCACTTCGTTCGGGGGATGGGACTGTGTACCATTATCTCTCGTGATCCTCTTTATCCACCCCAAATGGTGGAATAACCAAATTATTATTAATAAACAGTACTCGAGTGACACTTCATGACTAGTATCCAACGGCATGTCCATCCCCCCTCATATCACTCCCTGCAGACCAGACCCTCGTCTTGCCATCGCCGTCCTCCTTATCCAATCGGCACCTGATCACCTGCCCCCGTCCAAAAATTGCTCTATACCACCCCCTTACAACCGCAACTTCATGCCCCATCCCCGCCAACCCATCCATAATCCCATAATCCCGCTCCTCTCCCTCCCCCCCCGCCGCCCCCTGCTCGATGCTAACCCCCTCCACCCTCGGATCGTACGGCTTCCCCACGCTGATCCTCGGCGCGTCAACCGCCTGCTGCGGATTCATTCCCCAGACCAGCAAGTTCAGGAATACCTGCAGGTGACCCTGCGGCTGCATGAACCCGCCCATCACGCCAAAGACGGCGTCTAGGTTGTTGGCCGTGTCTGTGATGAGGGAGGGTATGATGGTGTGGTAGGGCCGCTTGCGCGGTGCCAGGACGTTCGGGTGCGCTGGGTGCAGGGAGAAGCCGCAGCCGCGGTTTTGTAGGACGAAGCCGCAGTTTTTAGGGACTATGCCAGAGCCGAAGCCACCATAATTGGAGCTGGGGGGGGTGTTAGTTGGACGTGCGATATGGAGTGAGGAAAAGTGGGGTGGGAGGGAACTTTATAAAGCTGCAGCCGTTGCCGTGCTTATCCGTTACGGAAAAGTAGACTGTGTCACAGGATTGGAATGCGGGGGTTCCATGTGAGATGTTGTCATTGCGCTTGTCTGGGTCGAAGAGTTTTGCGCGTTCCGCTAGGTATGCCTATTCCTATTAGCCATCCCATCAAAACCTATCTCGAAGACAGAACAGCACCTTATCAATTAACCCCTCCGTCGGCACCTTCTCCACCTGCGGGTCCGCAATCCAGTGCCGCCCATCACTGAACGCGATGCGCAAAACTTCGATAAGCACATGTAAGTACTCGGTGGAATTATGCTTCCAGTGGCACTCCTTCTCCTTGCCAAAGTCCGGAACGACCCCCTCCTTCTGCAAGCTCTCCAAAATGCCCAGCGCCATGAGCGCCACGAGTCCCTGCCCGTTCGGTGTACACTCCCAAAGCCTGTACCCGCCATACTCCATGAACACGGGCTGCACAATCTCGCTCCCGGTCTCGCCATGGTTCTTGAGGTCCTCCAGCTCCATGACCCCACCGCGGGCCTTCATCACATCGACGATAGCCTGCGCCACGCGCCCCTCATAGAAGCCCTTCTTCCCGTACCGGATGAGCTCACGGAAGGTCTCGGCGAGGTGCGGCATTCGGACTATTTCGCCTTCTTTGGGTGCGCGGGTTCCGCTCTTCAGGACTTCGGCATAGTTCGGTGACGCGACTTTCAAGTGCTCCACCTCCTGTGCCCACATCACGCTGCTCATCAGCGATATCGGCGCGCCTTCTTCGGCCAGGCGAATGCCCTCTTCGAGTGCTCCTGCCAGCCCGATTTTTCCGGATCCGAAGGTCTCGAGGACATCCACCCATGCCGCCGCCGCACCGGGAACAGTTACAGCGTGGACATGAGTCATCGGGATGCCACCCTCGCCGTCCATCGGGGCATTAGTTGCCGGTTCGGGAGGCATGGAGAGGTCGGAGCGGGCTCTGCTTAAAGTAAGTGCTGCCGGTGCTCGGCCGGAGCCGTTGAGCCCGCGGATGGACTTGGTCGCGGCATCGTAGTAGAGGCAGAACACGTCACCACCAATTCCAGAACTCGCGGGTTCTGTGACGTTTAGGGCTGCTGCGACGGCTACGGCTGCATCCTATCTTGCCATCAGCAAGAGGAGGGAGGGGGGGAGGGAAGGGAATGGAAAGGGTACAGCAGCATTCCCCCCATCTCTAAGAATCTTAATGCCGGCCTGCGCAGCCAACGGTTGCGAACAAGCCACGATCCCGTTCGCGCTCTGCACCACCGATCGTCGAGACGGAAAGACGCAATAGGGATCATCCATACCCGCCGTTATTCGTTCGGTTACGGGGTCCGCCACTGTTGTATCTCTGTCTGTCGGCATTTTTTTCTTTTCACACGGTTTACCAATTGATATTTGGTGGGCGAGCAAATGAGAGAAGTGGGATGGAAGACTCGACATACCGAGTATATATACACACTCTCTCTCTGCCTTGCCCTCCTCGCCAGCTGTTCAGAATGAACACACGCATCTAAGCAAGCCATGGGAAACCAGAATTGGACTAGCTCCAGTATACTCACCCCAACATGGAAATCGCCAAGGGTCGTTCATAGGGGAGTTTATCAGGTCCGGGGCACGGTCCGCCAGGCCAAGACAGCCTCCATTCGAGTAAAGAGTTTAGGGAACATACCGGAGGATTGTCCCTCCCCCACCTGGGGGGTTATGTACGGGTCGTACAGTACTCGTACGGTAAAGTACGGTATCATACCCACCTAGAAAGTGCCTCGTCCTTGAATACTTCTCCGAAGACAACAATAGCAAATTTTCAAAGAGGAATATGGAGCCCAAATCCTGCTATCAATGGCAACATAGATACTCGAGTAGACTCTGCCCGAGCATGACACCGGTATTCCTGAATCCCAGGAACGCAATTGGGCTAGGCCTAGGCCGTTATTCAACCTTTGTTACCCGAGCTAACCCGTGCCCCGCTTCCCTAATCGATAGAGCCAGCAGCACAACCTCAACCATCTGCAGTATCATTAGACTACGAGCCATAGCACAAGTACGATACCCAATCGCAATACCGCACACGCAAGGCGAACATGCGGCATTGCGGGGGAAGCGGCGAAGAAGAGGTTTCGATCCGAAGAGCGGACTGCACGGCGGTGGCGTGAAGCAGGTCCGCTCTTGTTGGCTGGAATCCACCGGCATGCTGTTTCTGGGCACATAATTTATATTATGCAGCATCGAGCAGGTTACAGCCTCCTCGCCTTGAGAGGGTACGGTACCGTATGGTAGGATTTTCCTCTAATTAGCAAAATGGTTTTAAATCATAAGTTAGAACTAGTACTTGTAGAGCCCCCCTTCTCATCCACAGTCATGCAGGAAGTCGTTGTTATAGAGCTAGAATTGAAGATGTTGCACATAAGTTATGTACAGTACCAGTATTCGCTGAATGGTCCCCGCTGCAACATGATCCCGGTTGCCGTCTTGGATTGTCAATAAAACGGGAACAGGATTAAAAAAAGGTCTTAATTACGAAATTGTCAGTGAAACCACCTCTACAGTAAAGCCCCTTCTCCCAAACGTTGATGGCCCAGAATGACCCAGATTCTCCAAGAACTCGGTGGCATGGGGCGGTAGGTTGACGTTTGTGGACAGGACCGTCATTGCACAATGCGTAGCGACAAATTTTGGCACTTGCGCTCGGGTCAGCCTGGCACAGTATAGTACTGGACCACTGGTACGAGGCTGTAGACAAAAATCACCACTAGTGATCATTCACCAAAACCACAACCACCATACCAATATTAGCTGAAAATGACCCCTACTCTTCCATGAAAGCCTCCCCACGGCGAACAGTATACTCCAATATGAGTGAGAGTTCTCCTTATCACTGGCTTGTATCAGTCTGAAATTTTGTGGCAGACCGGGGTGATGCAATGAACCAATAGTAACTTGAAAATGTGACAACAGTTACAATAGCAATGGGATCATCCTGTATGCCCATACCAGCTAAATGAGTGTAATATCCGCAATTGACCCTCCATCTCCAAAGTGCATGGAAGGGGTAATATCTTTGTTAGTAAAAGTTAGGTCAAGGGTTGGAATTAATCATTTCTTCTAAAATGATTAAACAAATGCTTGAAAAAGAGGGGATACTCATAATGTAAGGCTTGTAAAAGGCTATTCATCGGTCAGAGAACCAAGTAGATGTGTAACAACTATGCTGCTATCAGTTACAATTAAAACTTATCACTTATATTTCTTGAGAGTATAGGTAAAAAATGTTATCATAAAGGACTACCTCTATTGAGTCCTTGAACCAATCATTGCCCCAGTCTACTTGCCACTTGCCATATTCTTGACTATGATGCATTGCCTGAAACTGAATTTATTAAAGACCAAATCTTAATCCATAGGACACAAGAGTTCTTATTAAACTGAAAGAGCAGTTAGACATTCCACTTTATTCTCAGCTGGCTTCATCATCTAACCTTAACCCCATTGAAAATGTATGGAGGATAATGAAGCAAAGGATTAAGGGAAGGAGAAATTTTTCCATAATGATCCAGTGATGAGAATGGTGGTATAGGAGGAGCAGGATTACCTAAAGCCCAACAACCGAAACCACCACATCAACACTATGCCTACAAGACTGCAGCAGTTCAAGCAAGGGAAAGGGATGCAAACTGAATTTTACTAGTAATGTATTTTCTGTGTTTACATTCACCACTTGTACTACCTTTTATTTTTAAAAAAATTCTTCTACTTTTGTTGTGATATTTAATGTTGCTTAAGCATACAAAGTGCATTTAGAGGTGTGATCTGTGGTTGCTAGCGGTGATTTTGAATAGATCCAAAATATGCCCGTGAGATACAAATACCGTGGTAGGGTTTACAAAAAAAAATGATTCAATGCATGAATACAGGTATGATACTATGAAGGAATGAAAAAAAGGAGAGGCGGAGAAGAAAAAAACTAAAACTCCAGATACCGAGCGGGGGAGAGCGAATAGAAAAAAAACCTTTTTCCCCTTGAAAAGCCTCTCTACATTGGTTACCCGAAACAAAAAAAAAAACACTCGCAGGAAATAGAAAAAGAAAAAGAAAAGATAGTGCTTCTATTACGACTATAGGTATCCATCCGAGAGGGGAAACAAGAAAGCAGTCCACCAATATTGGTACAAAGAAATAGCCTACTCCTCTAGACTCCAATCCCACCGAAGAGTTAACTTAATTTAATCGCTATAGACTGTCAGTATCCATCAAATCGGTTCAGACAAAGTAAGGAAGAGACTCACTAAATCTCTATAGGGGCCAACTGATCAATGCTATAGAGCCAATTCCCGCCCTCCTCCTCTCGAGATAACCTGTTCAGACAGCCGATTAGTAAACAGTCAACGACGGGTGATAATAGAAAACACACCATTCGTGAGGCCAGACAACCAAATGCCCTTGGGTCATATCCAGCAATTGCTCCGCAACACCTTTCTCCAACAACGGTTCGCCAGCATGGAAATCCCTCTTTGAACTCCTGGTTGTGCCCCTTCTCCGCCTCCTGGTCGACCCTCCGTTGCTCAGATTTGTATTGGAGCTATAGCTAATGCTTCCAGCCCCACTAGACAGGAGATTGGGGTCAAGTTTTTTCTCCGAGGAATCATGAGAATGGCTTGAATTCGGTGCGCCGGCCGCAGTGCTTGTCGTGGCCGTTGTAACTGCCGTATTCAATCTACTCGATGCGAGGGAAGTACTCCGTGGCCTATTGCTTTCGTGAACGGGCAGATGCTCCGACTTTTCACCCATTAGATCAACGCCCGTGACCCGATTCAACTCATCCTGACTCTGTACAGTGGGTACGGCCAAATCCTTTGCATTTCCTTGGGGATGAGAATTGCCAACATGATGAGCAGCTGCGCCAACCTTCTCCCCAACCTCGTCCCCAAGGGCGCACATTTTCTCCCCAGGGACCGCCATTGCAGCCGCTACACCAGGCAAGTCTGCCCCTGCCGGACCCGACTTCCCGGGTGCTTCTTGTTGCCTCCGCATCTTGCTCTTGTCGATACCCTGACTTTGAGAAAACCGCTCGCCATATGCCGCATATTCCTTGTACGCCGCCCAGGTTTTAACCTCGTTATCAGGCATACACCTAAAGACCTGTCGATAGATCTTGGTATTATTCTGCGCACATGTGTTCCAGATGCCCTGATAGAAAGATTCATTCAAAGGGTCTATAAACATGTCCGGTTCAACCTTGGGCATCTCCATTGTGTCCAGGAGAGGGACAGGGGGCCCGTCCCCAGGTATAGAAACCGGTCGGGTAACAAAGGGCCCACCAATGTCCTGGTCGCTAGTGGGGGGGAGAGGTGGAAGTTGTGATAATTGGGGAAGTCCAAGCTCCACAGAGTTCGTTCTCTCGGACCCAGGCGGGGACGGTAGACTCGCATTCCCTGGTCCGTCCGGCGACGAAGCCCTGCTCGATGAAATCGCGGAATTCCTGGGGTGGGAAGAAGTAGGACTAGACAAATTTGTAGAAGAGATATTTTGACGATTACCCTCTATTGGAGACCCCGCCCCGGCTAGCGGTTCAGCAGTGATCAGAGTTGGGAGCCTGATAGTAATAGGCGGAGGGCGAACTGCCGGCCCCATTTCCTCAGAGGCCTTCTCGTTTACCGTAGAAGGAGCTCCCAATATTGCGCTTGCATGCATATTATCGAGCCCGTATCCTCTAATATCGTTACGATGCTCGTGATTTCCAGTGATCCTATTATCCGAAGTCTCTCGCTTTCGAGTCTTGAGGTGGGGGTTGTTCTCCTGCTCCCAGTCAACGTCATGATTGAAACTCCTCAACTCCTCCTGCCGGAGCACCGCCTCGTCTTCCAACGTCAACTGAGATGTAGCCATAGCGATAGAGCCATTCTCTCTGTGTTGCTGTTGTAGGAATTTCTCATCGGCTCCATCGCCCTTGTCAGAGCATTCCCATTCCTCACCCTTGAGATCAGATTCAACAGTATGCTCACAGGCCATAAGCTCATCGACATCGATCCCCAGATGCTCCCTCATGAGTCTCAGTCGAAGCGTATGCGGGAATTTTCCAACCCTGAAAGGCTTCCCAGCCATGGATGACATGATAGTATCCGTATCTCTGACAATTGCGGCCACTTCCGAATCTCTGTTCCCCAGCATAGATCGCTCGTTTATGTTTGCGGAACCAATGATAGCAATGCGGTCATCTACCACCATACATTTGGCGTGAATATACAACTGCTCGGTTACCAACGCCTTCTCGGGCCCAATCTTCCCCCAATTCCTAAGACCAAAGAACTGAATGAACTCTTCAGGTTCGATCCCATGCGCCCTTAAACGTCCAAAAATCGAGTATTCACCTCTAGAAATACTCCTGTATTGACACTGCATGATCAATCGGACGCTGGTTCCGTCCGGGGCATCTACAGTGTTCTGAAAGCCCGGCATGAGCGGGATAAGGACGATAGCCCTCCAATCTTCGTCCTTTCTATAGGCGCGAATGATTCTCTCGACGAGGGCGTCGCCAATCTTGTTCCCAATCCTCGTTCCCTCCCATTCAGTGGAAGTAATAAAGAACTGGTTCTCAATGTAGACAAAATGCTCTGAAAGCTCAATCGATTTAATGTAAGCATTCATGATGCTGCACTCAGTAGTAGCTGGGGTCCCAAGTGACCAGGAAGACGCTGATCGAAGGATCTGTACCTCGCAGGTTCCATCAATCCCCAGAGATTCAAGCTCAGCTTGTGTGAAATCGGGCGGTGGGAGAAGTACCGGGGTCGGTCGTGAAGGTGTTCTCTGACGCAGAAGATAATTCCACCTCTGAACAAAGTGCCTAGTGAGGTCACGGGCCGGCTGTCCGACTACTTGCATATGTATATCATGCCACGGCATCCTCGGAACCTTAGATCGGGCATACATTTCCTCATAAGGTTTATCCAGTGAATAGAAATCTTGAACCCTAGGGTTAGAGTAATCCTTCCCAGGCCATAGTTGAAAACTATCCGGGTCTGCCCTGTTGCTGCCCTCCTCGAATCCGGTCGGTTTATCATCAACCAAGGAGTGCTGGGGTGTGTCCCATCGACCAAAGCATAAATCTATACCACCCAGAAAGGCAACCATATGATCCACAATTAGTATCTTCTCATGATGAGCCCAGAAGAAGGTGGCCTGTCGAATTTGATTCGGCGAGCGTTGAACAAAGACATTTGGATGAAGATCAAGAAGAGAATATTTGGAGTAGGTAGAGTCAATCGGAATAGCAGCCCCGATATTGCGATAGATGATGATGAAAATCTTAACGCCTTCCTGGGCTTTCCGCTGGAGAAGTCGATCTAAACGCCATTTTTGTGACACGGCGGCGGGACGACGAAGGTACTAAACCAATCAGCCCACACCCATTAACTTAGGTGTATAAGCAATTATGAAATCTTACTAATTCCGGCGACAACCACCAATCATGAATATAAATAACATCTTTAGCCATGCTAATTGCGCGACTGACATTCCACATATAATCACGTCCGTCGACTAACCACTGTGCAAACACCCCGGTTCGTACAGGGGCAAATGCCTCGAATCTTTGCGCATTTGCCCAGTCGGTGTTGTCTTTCATGAGCCTGATACTCTCGGTAAATTGGTTAAGTTGCCTCTCATTCTTGGCCAACAGCTTGAGCGTTCTCTCGGAATTCTGAATAACCAATGAGTGGTGCTGGGGACGCGCCGGATTGCCATTCGCAATTGCCATGTCTTGCGGCTTTTTCCTCAGTGATTTCTTTGCGTTGACCATGAATTTCGAATCCACCAAGAACACATCGTAAATATTCATCTCTTCCGGGGAATCGACACAAACAATGTAACTATGCCTAACCAAAAACCATTTCGGCGAATGTCGTTTAGCCACTGCCGACGGATTCCATACCCTCCGATAATCGCTCCCTTTCGAAGACCGAATTATCAAATACCCCTCCTTCCCATGATAGCTCCCTTCAGCCGCAAGCCTAACACCGAGGGCAGACAACTCCAGGAATTTACACAACCGGTTTGAGTCGGGCCTGAAGATCATGATGCGAATGAGCGAGCGCAAATAATCTTCCAATTGCTGCCTCTGCCTAATGGCAAATCCCTCCTTCCTAGGATTTGGCAGTGATCCAGGGGTACTGATGGGTGCAGTAAGGGTTCCTAGACCCGTAACTATACCAGTCGCAATGCCTTGTGGAGCATGTTCCCCAAGAAAGTTAGATGACATGCGTCTAGCATACGGTCGCCTCTTTTTCTTTTGAACGGCAGCACCCGCGTCGCCTCTAGCATTTCCCTCGGCCCCGCTATTGTCCGACTCGCTATCATCCTCACTCCCAAGGCCTCGGACACCCCTGAGATATGGAATTGTCGACCGCGGAAACTTGGGGAGCTTATAGGCATCCCTTCCTCCGAACGTTGTATTGCTTATATCTGCAAGACGATACCTCGAGTGCAAATTAACAAAGTCTCTAAACTCCCGGTGAATCACCCATTGCATCCTTGTTAGGCCCGATCCATACTCCAGTTCAATACGGAAGGTCGTGTGAGCCCTGCCAGCACCTTTTGACGTAGGATTTGATTCCGCAATCTTGACCTTGAGTTGTTCCAGAAGGATGGGTATGCGTTTATTGCCATTCTCATCTCGCTGGAACATGCTGGCTAAGATGACGGCTGCCGGTGTTGCAGCTGTCAATTCCGCAACGAGCTCAGCAGACTTTTCACGGTCGACCCTTGATTCCTCCTTCTTCCGCGGCCCCATCATCTTAAATCCGGCTTTTAAAGCCCTCCATCCACTACCGTATACAGGCGTAGTTGGCGAGCCCTCGCCGCCATCATGGGACCGGCGATGATTGAACTGCGTTATTCTACGGAAAGAAGCTCTCCGTGAAGAATATCCACGATCACTCTGTGTCCCCGCTTCTTCCGGGATATTAGTGATTGTAGCCCTTCTGCGAGGCCCATGCGGTGCCCGCGGTGTCCCAGGGACTGTCCGTGACCCCTCGGGGGTAGCCGACCGGACAGATCTCCCTCCCACTGTGTGATCCGTGTCCTCGAGCTCTTCGTCCCCACCAAGAGCCCCACCAACAGCGGGCGAGTATGGTACAGGTGAGAGAGGGCCAGTAGGGGTAGCGCCATCGCCCGCACTCTCTATCGTCCATCCAGATTGTGATCTCCCGTGTATCCCATTCCCCGAACCGAAACTCTTCAGTCTAGAAAAGAACCCTTGCCTCCTGGCTGGCAATGGCGTTTCCGTTTCATCCCCCGTAGAATAATCGCCCGACGGCCTATTCGCTCTCGCAGAGGTAGCTGTCACATCATACTCGTAAGCGTTTTCAAGGGAACTTCCTGAATGATTCCCCGCGCTAAAAAAACCGCCCCTTCTGCGGCGGCCACGTGCAGAATTGGAAGGCCCAGCAGCGCCCTCCACGGGTGAAAGCTCCCAAGCAGTGGTAGATTCAGTAGTGATAGAACTTGGTCTCTTTGGAGTCTTGTAACCCCCGACGTCGGACTGAGCCCCTTCATCATCGGAGCAATCCTTCCACCGTATGGAATGCCGGGATGAAGGGCGCGACCGGTACCCCTGTTCCTCAATTGCGGCTGGAATCGGCGGCGGAGGCTCCATATCCACTAATAGCATCGGCGAGACGGGCAAAGAATGAGTGCGTAACATTGGCGAGGGTTCGACGCGAGGTACTGGATTCGGCTCTCTTTTTCCACCGTTGGAACCGGAGGTGTTGAGGACTATGGGGGCGAGCAAAGGACGAGGAGGCCGATCATATCGTCGCTGCGCCTGCTGCAGCTGCTGCTGCTCGTCCCCGGATTCCAATGGTTTGGTTGCCATCGATCGTTTTGGGGCTTGATTGCGGCGGCGGCGGGGAGAAACGGAAACTCCCGGTTCAGGAGGGACGGACAAATAGGCCGAGAAGGGAAATGGATTACGGGCAGTGTGCTGTTGAAGCAAACCGAAAGTCCGGTAAGGGACCGGATTATCTGGAGAAGGAGCGAGAGAGCTGGAGTAAACAACAAGGTTACCATGGACCACCGAAGAGGAAGCAAACAGCTACAAGATCTATAAGCTGAGAGGTGAGCGGATGATTACGAACCTTTCCCGAGACCCCCCCCCCACAAGTCCACCCCCGCGGCCCAGGGAAGGAAGGGAGCGATAACAAGAATTTGAACGAGCGACACGAAAGGAAAAGAGAGGGAGAAAAAGGAAAAAAATCAAGGTGCTGGGAAACAATGGGCAGGTGACCGATATGAGATGAAATATCCAAAGCAAGGAGGAGGAACAAGGAAGCGATAAAAGAAGCTGGACGCAACGAGTGTACACTTGTAGAAAAGCCGAGAGATACGGTTATGAAGTTGCTGTAACGAAATAGAAAGGAGGAAAGAAGGAGGAAAACAAAAAGTGAAAGAAAGCGCAGAGGCGAGGAGGGTTCACCTTCACCGGCCGGCCACCTGCTACCGTCTTCCAACTCGGAACTCTGTGCAAATATGGCAGGGGCAAGGCAAGTGAGAGTAGCAAAGAAGGGTGCCGGTAACATACGAACACACACACCACACACACAAAAGGCACGAGAGCACCTCAAGAATCTAAGCCAAACTCGAACGCTCTATCCCTAGAGGACCTTTGCTCAAGGAGACACTGACCACTCACCGTACGATCGAGTGAACGACCCAGTCAAAGCCCCTGCGGTACGGAGATTGCCCTGTGGCGTAGTTGTGGCTAGGGGTTGACGGTTGAGCTCAAAATAACGCCACAAATTTGTTGTCGTGCCGCAACTTGCTCGTATTGTACGGTACGAGTACAGTACGTATGATACCGGTACGGTATGTATGCTGTAGACTAGACTACGGATATCACGCTCGAGCAACCTTGCCAACATGGTACGAGTATCATGGAAGAAGAAAAAGGAGCGAAAAAAAGTGCTCATATAGCGCACGACTCGGATTCAAAATTCTACCATACAGTATGAAATACCGATAATACGATAATGGTTACTCTTCCACCACCCATAGATAATATTAATATAAATAAATCCAAATACAGTATCATACCGGAAAAGCATCCTTCAACTCTCCAATACCAAGCTTTCGGGCGAGACCTAGCTAGCTTTTGCTGTCAGTACGAGTATTGTACGAGTACGAGTAATTTATGTCCAGACCCCTGCTCGACTCCCCAACCCGCACCCACACAGCCTCTGACGTCGCGTTTACTGCCCGAATGGGGACTAGCCCAGACTGGGCCCATTTCACCTTACCGTGATGCCGTACTTGACCATTCATAAAATATTCGGATGCCTTGGCGCCAAGGTATATCAACCGGTGTCGCGCTGTTTCTTCTACTCGCGTTGATTGGATGGTGTGTTGCACATGCCGTATCCCACCTCCGTGATGCAGTCGTGACCTCTCATTAACCCACACAATAGATAAGTGCAGAATTGACCCAACCCACTATCAACAAACCCACTATGTAAGGGTAGGCTAAAAGGAACTGTGGCTCGGTCAATTTAAAAGAACTGATGAGTGGTGATTTTCCTGAAAACGACCTTTTGAAAAAATTACGAACTGGACCAGAGTCTTGTTGTGGCATATTTTGATTGGTGAGTGAAAATTTTTAATTGGTGGAAGCTAATTATTATGAGATATCGTGAGAAGTTGAAAAGCTTCATTCAAGAGGAGGGTTGGGAAAATGAGCGATAGAGGGATGGCAAGAGTGGTGGGGGAACAGGTATTGTTGAAGAGGATGCTGGTAATATCCTATGTGGCGCCAAGTGGTATTGGATTGGAATTTATACACAAAAAGGGATGTGGGAGAAGATTGAGTGATAGTAAGTTGAGGGAGAAGATTAACGGGGCGGAGTCGAGGTCAATCTCGGAGTTGTCGATCCAATAACGAGT